AAAAAAAAATAAAAATGAAAAGGGACCCAAGAACAAGAGAGCGAAAAGGGACACGAGTGCCTGCTGCGAGTTTATATTAGATAAAAATTTAATTTCGCCTCGGTTCATGTGTTTTTGTGCTGGGTGCTTAAGACTCAATGCATGTCCTTGGTGTGAACTGTCAATATCCCGAAGTTGGGAGTTCGAAATCCGGCACATTCTCCCCGGGTTGTTGTAAAAATGCAATTATGATTGTATTATGGTCGCCTTTGTGTTTACTCTAAACACTCGTCCTTTGTCCGTTTGTTTGGCATCAAATATTCCCTGGGATATGGGAATTCGTTCCTGTGCAACCCGCATCCACACATACGTTCCGATATCTGGCCAATCTGGGTGCAGCTTTGCAGTTGTCATCCAACATTCAACATGCATCCATTCGATACTCCATGCTGGTCGATGGCTAATAAATTATCCACCTATTATCCTTGCCAAGCAAATTTCCCCTTTGTCCTCTGAAATTGGCTTCGTGTGTGTCTTGTTATCGGGCAAACCTGCATTTCGATGACTTTTCTGATTCCCCAACTCCAGGTGCGAAAATCACCTTTGCAAAGGTGCATTATAATTGGGAGTGACCGAATGCATTTCAATGACTTTCGGGAAATGGGTTATTATTGTTTTTATACTGGAACTCAGATATACATTAATATTTTTTAAAATGAATATTGTAAATATTAATATTGTATAAGGTGAACTAAAAATTACACAAAAATCTCCAGGAACTTAAAAAAATATTAACTGAAGGTTAATTTAAAGTTTACTCTAGGAAAACAATGTCAGTCATGTGATAACCTTTCACAAATGTCTGCATTTATTTACCCAGTCAATCCTGACTCCTTTTTAATTCCGAACTACTTATCCTTCTGTGCAATGTTTGCCTTCCTCCCTTGATTACATGAGTAGCACCCCAACCCCTTTGGTTAACCACGTTCAATGCAACCACAAATTCTCCGGAAAACACCTACTAACTTGACCTTCACAATTGCGAGTGCGACAGTTCCGCAGTGAATCAACCCTCTGGGCAAACAAAAAACCTCGATACATCGATATAGTGATACTGGGCAAATATACCAGGATATATCATCGTGGTCACCCCTCAACTGTACACAAAGTGTGCGCAAACAAACTCAACCCCTCGGCCTCATCGGCACCCTCGAACCCCCCACTTCTCACCCCCAAAAGCCTCTCGACTGCACTTGAACTGTGTGCAACATATGCAGTTGATGTTTTTTACCAGACTGCAACATTTTATTATTCCTTTTTTTTCGCTCTGCTTTGTTCAACCCCTCTGGATACAAAAATATCTAAATTATGAACTATGACAAATATTATATTACCAACAGGATGGAAGAGGGAAAACGCCTCCTTTTGGGTGATTAATCATTGTGGTAAATTGTGAAAAAAATAAACCAAAATAGGAGAACCAAAGGAAGTATGAAAGGAATGACAAAAACGCTGCATTTTGTTGGCCATTTTGTACAACTTTTATAGAGAGAGGCGGGGAAAACTGCAGCCGGGCCATGAACAATTTATTGCTTTAAGCCGATTACGGAGTAGTCCTCCTATCGCTGTCACTCCCTTTCCACGCCACATACATTTATATATAGTATCACCCGATGTCCGCTAAGTAGGCGACTCTCGCTGCCGTCGACACCGCTCAAAGTGGTCACATTAAGTAAGCTTAGGTCTTAGCACTATTTTTTCCAACCAGCTCTGCTCACCCAGGGGTTCTGGTGCGAATGATGAAGGGTTAAGGCAATTAAAATTGAAATCACTCGGTCAGCTTTACTTTGATTTGTTGACTGGAGTTAATTGCTGTTTAAATGGACTTAGTCGCACTCAACTAAGGGGGAAACGGATTTTATTTGGAGTATTGGGATTTAACGGGTCAAGGATTACAAAGACAAATAAAGTTTAACAACAGTTTGTAAACTCTTTCAAAAATATTAGGATGTATAAATTGTTTAGAAATATTTTAATTTTTTAAATGGGTAGCAATTACTTACATGTATTATATTTAAATGAAACAACTTCTGGTTTTTATACCCTTGTAGAGGGTATTATAATTTCAGTCAGATGTTTGCAACGCAGTGAAGGAGACGTTTCCGACCACACAAAGTATATATATTCTTGATCAGCACCAATAGCCGAGTCTATCTAGCCATGTCCGTCTGTCCGTTTCTATGCGAACTAGTCTCTCAGTTTTAAAGCTATCGCGATGAAACTTTTCCGAAAGTCTTCTTTCTATTGCAGGTAGTACATATGTCGGAGCCTGCCGGATCGGACCACTATATCTTAAGGCTCCCATAGGAATATTCAAACAAATAATAATAAAAATAATTCATTGTAACTTTGTAGGAAGTAGGCGTTTTGATTTTTGACAACTTAAAAAAAAAATTTAAGTAGGCACGCTGAATTTGGAATCCCTGGAACTGCAACGAGTGAGCATTAAACTATAGGTATTTACTTTATCTGCAAGGGTATATAAGCTTCGGCTGGCCGAAGGTAGATTCCTTTCTTGTTTTAAATGTTATTTTCCCACAGCAGTAGCAACCTGACCCATCAGTTTCTCAAATTATTGCCAGCCATAAAGACTCTAATCTCTTTGGCACACATAATGGGACAGAGGCGATCCAATTTATGTACAGGAAACGCTGGACAAATCGAAATGGAGCTGGCTCATTGAACGCAACTGGCCAGCTGACATTGCAGGACAGTCCACCCTCATAAGGTAGCTTATGATAACGATCTGTTATTGGGAAATTTCTTTGGCAGAATAATTGCAAATGCTCTACAATTGACAGGCTCAATGCATTTCGTACTTGATGCACTTGAAAATGTAGGCTAACTGCATTTTTCAGTTAATGCGGGAGACAAAGAAACATAATTGTCGATGGCGAGTGGAAAATTATAAAAGTGCATCCGAACATAAATCTAGATTGACGCATGCGTTGAGGGAAATGGGTTTTCCATAACTGCGCAACGGCAGCTGCCACTGTTCGGCACACCCTGTGGAAAATTCGTGAGGGGAGGAAGGGAAAACCACCCTGATCCCAGCTTAGGGTTATGGTTAGCACCCCAGCATCATCATTATCCTGATCGAACGCAAATGTGTTAATTCTCCCCCTTTGCAGACTCTCTCTCTTTGTCGTCCTTCCACAACTCTTATCAATCTGCCACTCGACTCTGCGTTGTATGCAACATTTGTTCACCACATGCCAGCCGTAGAACGTAGAAAGAGCTGTCCTTCCCCTTGGCAACTTGTAATTTATGCCCCGAAAGCATCCATTATGAAAACATCAACACACATTGTGCAAATCAAGCAATTATCGCAGGAAATATTCAACGTAATTATCGGGCGTTAGAGGATTTCCATAGGACAGCGGTCCTACGGGGTTCGGGTTATAGAAAAAGGCACGCGATGGGCTGGGGTTGCATTGTAAAATTTTATTTTATCTAATGCGTTTTCACAGAGGGATGTCTGGTGTGCTTAAATCCATTACAGATCACTTAGGTACTTTTAAAAGTTATTCATATCAAGATGCGATAAACAGGAGTCAAGTGACGAGAAAATGTTATAGATGGGAAAATGGAAGTAATTTTTAGTTTTTTAGTTTTTAATTTTTGAAAGTGTTTTGAATTAAAATGACCATAAAATTGGTCAAGTTTCCACGCGTTCTAAATTTTGCAAATATTTTTTCCATTGTATTTGTCAAATTTTGTTTTTTTATTCATGTCAAGAATTCCATTTCGTATTGTGTCAATTTGCTGATTTGAATGCCCAAAAAGGTGTGATTAATTTCCCCGAAAAAGAGAATAAAAATAAGTAAGATTTTCCTTTGATGTCTCGCAGACGGCGGCGGTCAAATGTCACAACACCTACGCCGGAAAGTGCAAAGTAAACAAAGCAGGGAGTATTTCTCTTTAGGGGCATTCAATTTGGCACCGACAGGAGCTGGCTTTTGTGTATGCAAAATACATGACAGTTAAATGAAAAGAAAATAACATTTTCCCAGCACACACGAGAGGGAATCCTGTGCTGATTTTGACAACTTAAGTGTGGAGGAGTCGGCAACTCAAGGAGTTCTACCACAGATCTCGAGCACACGAAACGTGGCCACATTTTTCTTTGGGACTCGTTTGCTTTCTGTTTTTGTGTGTGTTTTTCTGTTTATTTAGATTTCGTGCCTGGCAATTGGCTTTGGCCACCCGAAGGTTATCCTTTGCAGATCAAAGTTGAAATTTATACATACAAATGTCACACCTCTCAAGGATTATGTATAACAAAGCAGAAAAAAGGAGCCGAAAAACAAAACAAATTTCTGCATACTTCGGCATTGACTTTGCCCGGGATATGTGTCATATCCACACAGTCCCCCCCAAAATACAAATTGTTAAAAAGATTATGTCGTGCCAGAGGAAAAACGAGAGGAAAATTTGTTTTCTTTTTGCGCTCTTTGGCATCCGTTCATTGTTGCCGCCTCTTCCTGGTCGGTTGCCTTATTTTGTTTGGCAACAGCTTTCAATGCCATGTTCCCTGGCATGTTTTGACTTCGGGTTGTTTCTCCTCTGTTGTTGGCGTTGCTTGTGGTGAATATTACGACATGTAACATTTTATGTGTTTGTCCCCCCACCCATCGAGCGCTAAGCTTTCATCTAAAGAAAAAAGTGGGCTTCAATGGACGATATCATGCCTGAGATAAAATGTGGCAAATATACGAGACGAGCTACAATCTTCTAATCTTACTTTCTCGAGAATGACTACTTTTTGTGGGGAAACCAAAGGAGTTGCTATTTTGAAGGTATGACATTTTAAGTACAAATTCTCTTTAAGAAATGAGTCAAAGATTTTTTTATTTGGATCAAAAATCATGTAAATTTCTCAGTTCTTTTAGAAATGATTTTCAATTTATGTTTAGCTTTTTTCAGAAATCTTTTAATTTTAAAACAATTTTAAAATGTATTTTTTTTACACACCGATATTTTGAGGCTATTTTACTTAGATAAGGTTTATAAAATGTAATACAAAAATTAAAATCGTTTAGCTGCTTCGACTGACATTGTCCTGGTTGAGGTTCTTCTTCTCCAGAGGGGGTGCGATACACAGGACTTTTAACTCAGCCTCGTTGCCAGACTCAATTTTCTACGATATATGGTAGTTTTGTTAGATAATAATGATTTTTCATTAGTGGAACAGTTTAGTTGAACTTACATTGACCTCGACATCAGTCCAATTGGCAATCAGTGGAACGAGCTTCATCACAGCGAAGGCGGCCAGGATACCAAGTGTCAGTCCACTGCTGTAGTACTCGTCCTCCATGAGGCCAATATAGAGTCCGCTGTGCTCGTGCCTCATGGCGCAGAAGTCCCCGGAGCAGATATAGGCCAACACGCCGACGCCCACGGGTCCTTTGACCCAATTCTCGGGCAGAAAGCCGAGGCGATCCTTTTCGGGATGTCCAAGCGCTGGGAGCTTGATGGCTCCTCGGGCAGAATTGGTGGCAGCCGAACGAAAGGCAGCCAAAGTCAAAGGACGCAGAGCTGTAAAATCCGAAACCTCAATCAGTCTTACTCATATTTGGTTTTCTTTTGCAGAACGCTTATTTATTAAGGACTGCCCTTTGACTTTAAATTGGTTTTTCATTTCACCTGATCTTGAGAACATTTTTCAAAAAATTGCGACGAATTTGATTCAGTGAATTTCCCTAAAATTGCTAGTATAGTAGTTCTGTATGAACTGTAAGATACCAATTTTTCAAAAGAAAGATATGGAAAAGGTGACCAGATGGGTTAAATAAATCTACTATAATTTTTGACATTTAAAAACTGTTTTTAATGCAATGGTTTCTTTTTATAATCTTTCAGTTTCTGAAATTTGTTTTTAGATTTATGTAAAATTTAATTATTTAATTTTAATTTACTCGCTACTGGCGAGTATTTGACATTTAAAAACTGTTTTTAATGCAATGGTTCCTTTTTATAAACTTTCAGTTTCTAAAATTTGTTTTTAGATTTATGTACAATTTAATTATTTAATTTTAATTTACCCGCTACTGAAAAACAATTAATATTTTCCTTTAATTAGCCATGGTCTTTGTTAGCGTCGTTGTCCATGCCAAACTAAACACCAACTTTCCGAAAGAAACTGGCCTAGTTTTTGGCCAAAAAAGGAGGGGCGAACTAAGCCCAAAAGATATCCCGTAGATACACACTCCACACAATGAGAGGGGGTGGCGAAATTTTGTCGCTAAGCAAACGGGGCTGAAAATAAAACTGTACCCAGTACTATGGCTAATTATGTGTATTTTAAGTTTTTGGCCAGCTCACTAGCCGGGATAAACGGGACGAGATGGCGGGCTCACTTCGCACACAATGCGACAGCGTTGAGTTGCATAATTAAAAACTTTACATTCTTCTATTTAAGTTGCCGTGCGCAAAGAAAAGATACAAAATTATGTACCCCAACTACATTTTCCGCCGATTTCATTTTCCTTTTTGCAAAGCAAATAATTGTGAGGAGCTTTTGAGGGGTAGAGGAGAAATGTTGGCTCTCGGTGGGGAAAACATCTTTAAGTTGGCCAAGGCAAATAATAGCGAACGGAGGCTGTGCGGAGGCCACAAAGGACCTTTTAACGCTGCTGCAGAGCACAAATGCAGGAAACAGGATATTGGATCATTTAGCATTAAGGCGGCGTCGCCTACCGACCCAGTCACACCCCCATATTTCCCCGATTCCCAGCCCGCTTCAATGCGAAACAAGTTAAGCGCAGCGCGAACAATAAAAAGGGAGCAGGATCCTTGGGATCCGGGAAGCAGAAGCAGACAAGGACGAAACGCGTTACGCTTTAATAACTTGCCGCAGGATTAAGTCCTGTGCAATGAGATGATAATGCGCCGTGTCTTTCGCAGCGGGCATTCCCCCTTTGCCGCCTTTGTAGGCGCCTTGTTTGCGGCTTGCGACTTGCGACTCTCTGAGGATAATGTTGATTATGCTTGGGCGTATCATAAAAGTGTAGCCATCACCCAATCTTTGCGGCAGCCATCGAGCAAAACAAATTATATTACAAAATGATTCTCCCGCTCCCATCACTCCCGCGTTGCATATTAGGATGCCACCAGAAGCTTCCTTCTGACATGGTTATCTGGATTCTGGGCTGCTCCGGCAAATTTATTGGCCAATAATGGGGAAAATGGAATTTGTGGCAAATTCGGGGACATATGTGATTTTTATGAGAGTGGTACTAATTTGACTCTTTGAAGACTTATTTTCTTAAAAATCTGATTTTTTCAAGATAAGGGATTTTTTTTAAGTTTCTCTTTTAAATATTCTAGTTTGCCTTATAAGTAGTGAGGTTATTATTTCTCTTTGGCTTTCATTCACTTTTAAATACATTTGCTCGAATTTTGGAAATATTTTTAGTTACTGGTAATGGCTTCTTTAACTTTAAAAAATATTCTTTTCACCAAAAAATTATTAGCCAATTAAGTAAATTTCTTAAATTAAGCAAAGGACACCTAACTTCATTATTCCATTCAATGGTAGCTAATTTTTATAAAATTTTTTTGAAGGTTCTAAATTTGTTTCTAATTTCGGAAAAAGTCATCTTAAATAAATTATCTTACAGCGGGACAGAAAAGGTGGGTTTCTTCTGAAGTTAAAATATTTAAAAAAATTTGTAATAAGCGATGTTTTAAGAATAGGGATTTACGACTTTATTGCACATTTTGCCCAAATTTTGAATTTCGCTCTCGATAAGATCGCCGGGCTTCAGGAAGCTCGACGGTTGGCGATAGGCGCCCGCTCCGGCAGGCGTGCCCGTGAGTATGATGTCGCCCGGACAGAGAGTCAAGTACTGGGACAGGCGGTGTATAAGGAAGTCGACCTTGAAGATCATATTTCGGGTGTTGCCCGTCTGGCGCTGCTCCCCATTGATAGTCGTCTTGATCCACAGGTTATTGACGTCGGGCACATGGCATCGGTGAACTATCGTAGGACCCAATGGGAGGAAAGTATCCATCGAGTGACCGCCAAGAAGGGCATTCCAATCCCTGGCCACGATATCCTGAACCACCATGAATCCGAAGACGTGTTTCAGGGCCTCCTTGGGCGCTACTTCCCGGCACTTTTTGCCCATAACGACGGCCAGCTGGCATCCGTAGTCGATATGTTTGGCCAAACTGTGCGCCTTGATGTTGTCCAATGCTCCCGTAATCGAGGTGGCGAACTTGACATGAAAGCTCGGCTCCCTGGGAATCGAGATGTGCTGCTCGTCACAGTTGTCCACGTAGTTGCAATCGATGCCGATGATCTTTCCCGGTGAATCGATGGGCGGCAGCAGGCGCAGATCCACGGACTCCACATTCTCAATCGTCATGAATTGCACGCTATCCAGCAGGCTGTCCATACAATACCGCTGCTGGATGAAGTCCATCATGTTGGAGGCGGCACAGGTGATGCTCGACAGCTCCACCATTTTGCTGCCATCCTCGGAGACCATGCCCAATCGCTTGAGGTGCTCATTGGCCCTCCGGTACTGCATGAACCTGCACTTGGGCAGCACCTGTTCACCAGGCCTGATGGCCACCAGGGCCTGGGTGGTCGGGTGATTGGTCTGAAGCTGACGGAAAATATGGTGCTGCAGGTGCTTCTGCGACTGGCGATCGGGACGCGGACGACACCACTTGGGGATGCAAGTGCGAAGAAGGTGGAAAAGGCCACTCATCTTCGTTTGGCTTGCTTAATAATTTTGAAAGTTCTCCTAGTTAAAATAAAATTCGTGTATTATTTATTTATAACTTATAAACTTGTTGTACAAAACATGGAAGTGTACCTAGAGTTTTGAAGTTTTTTTTAGTCCTTAGTTAGCCTACTAATCTATGTGGACTCATACACTCAAAATAAAATTAACCCTAAAGTCAAGGAAATCGCCCTACTTTTGTCTTCAAGACAAGCTCGCCCTAAATTTTAGGGTCACATTTTTCTATATTTTTGATTTTTTTTGACGTCATATTTCTAAATTTTAGGGTAATTTTACTAAATTTAAGGGCAAAAATTTCTAAAAAGTAGGAAATTTTCCTAAAAAATAGAAATTAAAAACAAAACAAAAAAACATGTTCAATCATGATTTTTTTTGTATATACGTTTATATTATGTACATACATAGATACATATGCAGGCGTTGTGTGTCTTGAATATTGTGCATGTTAAAGGTTATGTATTTATTATTATGTATTTGTGCTTGGATTTCTTATCTAACCAAAGCCAAATGTGGTTGTAAATGTGGACTACGGGACTGCGGAAGATTGGGAATGTAGAAATTATGATTAGTTAATATTTTATCTTCATGAAAAAAACTTACATTTTACTTGTCCGTCGGTGAGATTCGAACCCGGGTCTCCCGCGCGAGCAGCGAACGGCCTACATACTGGGCCATTGTAGCACTTAAACTTGCTGTGGCAAACCGAGCATTGTATGTAAAGGGTGAAGCGGACAACACATTTGAATACTAATTGCATAATTTTGACCATTCGCGTTTTACTTATTTACATACGTATATACATATGCATATATTTATGCTATCGCAATTTATATTATGTGTAGTATATAGTAAATAGCTAAATATAAACCAAATTATTTTCGGTTTACCGCTTGCCATCAATAAAAAAAAGGAATAATAAAAAAGATTAAAGAAAACAAATTAAAAAAAAAACAATAAAATAAATTTTAAAAAAACTAAAAAAAAAACTTAAAAAAAAAAGGTAAAAATAGTTTGCTCTGGGACTCGAACCAGGGTCGATTCGATTGTTAACCAAGTGCTTTAACCGTCTGCGCTACGAGTACAGCCGCCCGACAGCTGACAAGTTCTGGCATTAACCATTTTGGTGTGCCAGAGCATGTGAAAACAACTATTTCTATTTTTTAGAAAAACTTTCTACTTTTTAGGAAATGTTTCTATTATTTAGGGTTAGCTTAATTTTAGGGTTAGGGCACTCATTTTTAGAAAAGGCGTTGCCAAAATATTTCATTCTTTTGTTTGCCTTTCTATTTTTCAGAAAATAATTTCTAATTTTAAGGGTATTTTTCCTAGATTTTTGGGTGATCTTTGTTCATGGTAACCATTTTCTACATTTTAGAAAAACTTCCTGGATTTAAGGAAAACTTTCTTGACTTAAGAAAAATTTCCTTAGATTTTGAAATAACTTTCTTGTATTTAGAAAAAAGAAATTTTAATGGCGATTTTCTAAAATTTAGGGTTAAATTTATTTTGAGTGTAGGAAAAATTAAACATTTCTCAAGCTGTGGACAACTACATTTTATATTGGTATTTTTCTTTAAATTATATTATTTTTTAATAAACTTGGAAATTTAGTTATAACATTTCTTTATTTCTTCAAAAATACCTAATATTAAACAAGAAATAATATACCCTTTAATGTCGAATGGTAAATACAAAATAAAAGCCGGAGCGAAAAAGATGACAGTTTCCACCGACACATCCTTAAAGAACCCCATACCCAAATGTCATCAACGCATCATGGAAATAATAAACATACAAGCTCACATTTTACCCTGGCCTTTACTGCGGGATCCGTGTGAGCTTATTATTTCTTTTATTTACATAATGTATCCATCCAGGCCTGTTTTTCCTCTTGTGTGCAATTTACATAACACGCTAACACGCGTCGGGGGCGTGGTTTATGTGTGTGTGTTTGCCTTGTCTTATTTGTTTTTATACGCCAAACATTTGGCGGCTTTTATGCGAGGAGGAGGTCATGAGGTTTGATTGGCCTGGTGTAGTTCAGATCGGGGTGTTCATGGCTTTGCTTGATGGGCAAACCATAAAATTAGTTGAGAGGAGGAAGGCATTACTCTTGGATATGGAATGGGAAATTGGGGGGAAGATGTGTTTATTAATAGCTTAAGGGCTTTGGGGGGTCTTAGTGGTTTTTGTGTGGCGCCAGATCAAGACTCCTTTGAAATGGAGTTAAAAGGTGTAAAAAAATAAAATTAAAAAGAATACAAATCTTTAAAAATTCAGGGGATAAAGATATTTTCTTAAATATTTCACAAAATTTTTAAAATCTAAATTTCACTTTTAGATCATTTTAAAAGGCCTTAATAAAGACCTTATCCCAACCAAAATAATGGTTAACCGATATCTCATGCAATTCCTGGCCTCATCTCTAATCTAGATAGAAACGAAAATTCAATTTAAATAAATACTTATCGGCTGTGTGTGTTTTCTTTTCTCGGCTTTAATAATGCCACCAGATCGGCGCAGAGGTAAGCGAAAACAAAAACAGGATTTATCCGTTGTGCCTGAAATTGGATTAGGTCAGGGGTACTTCCATCAGGGGTGGTTGCGGATTGTGGATGCCGCACGCTCCACTGAATCCCAGTTGCCTGGTTAGAGAATGCAACTGCAGCCGAAAGTGGAACTGGGATGGCTGCAGCCTTGAGAGGATTCTGCCGGGATTCGTGCGGCAATTGTCCTGGTCTATATCGAGGCTAGTATCTCCATCTGTATATCGCTTACATGTCTACTTGACAAGGTCCTTGTTGGCTTGTTTAGTTGGTTTTTCTGTGTGTGCGAGTGAGTGTGGTGTGCTAGTTTGATTATTTGCCAGGATAACATCAACACAACGAGCTGAGGTTTACAGCTGGCCGGGACAATGGGAGGATGTGCCCCCGCCTTGATCCTTGTTTTCATTGCGTTTTGATTGGATTTTTGTACGGCCTTCTGTTGCCTCAATTAAGCCACAGTCGTACCCACACGTTGCCCCACCTCCAATCTCGCTGCTCTTGGCTTGTTTTGATATTTTATTGCCGTCGCAATGTTTGTTTATTTTCGACGCCGCCATCAAACTGCAGTGCGGCATTGCCTCCTCCTGCTTCCCGATCCCACCCCCTTTTTTTGGGTGGACCTTTTGTCTGGCTGTCAATATGTCAATTTTCCTGCCACTCTGGCTGCTGCTCCTTTTCATGCTTTCTATGACAGAAATTAAGTTCGCATTGTCGTCGTGAGTTTTGCGTTTCGCATTCATTTTGTGCCTCGATTTGATTCCATTTTGATGTCCATTCGTTCGTCATTTCCTCCTCTATATGTTTTTGATTTTCCTCCTTTTTTCGGCAGATCGGTGGTGGATATTTGTGGTTCTACGTTCGGTTCGATTGCGGCAACATTATATTTTTATTAAATGCAATCAGCAATTTTCGTCCTTTTGTGTCCTTTTGATGGCTTCAATAGCCGCACAGCTTGATTAGAATTGTTTAGGCAATTAAATTCATATGCTTGATTTTCGTTTCCAATTTTTCTGTAATTTCCGAAGCGTTTTCTTTTTTCTTTGCGATTGATTTGTGCGGGCTAAAAATTGTTCCGATTATGGGGGTACAGTTTTTTTCCGCCGAAAAGGAGTGTTTTTTGGTATAGAAAATGAAACCAAAGGGTTGTAAAATAAGGTCAATATATTCCATGGCAAGCTGACAAAGCTTTATATTCATTATTAAACATTGAATATTTTATATTAGTTATTTTGCATTTTTAACTTCGTTATATTAACGTAATGTTATATTTCCAGATTTAAAATATTCTAAAATAAATCACAGCAATAGACACAAAAATTAAAAGCATAAATTAAATATTCAATTTCATTAAAATGTATAATTAAAAATCCTAAAGTCAAAAGAATTTTTAGTTGATTCATTTGCCATTATGGCAAAAATATTGTGTTTCCATTTGAAACAGTTTTCAAGGAGGCAGAGGTTAGCATCAGTTGGGCTTAGTTGTCTCTGTTTTTTTTTGCTGACGACAAAGACCTGGCAAATTTGCAAATAGAAAGCATTTAATTGCAAATTGGTTTATTTTGGGGGCGATTCGCATGCGACAAAAACCGCCAACGAGCGAGTGTATTAAAATGAAGGCAAAGTCGGCAGATTGGCGCGACTTAAACGGCGGCCCGATCATAAATCCTTGAGAGCGTTGGGAGCTATGTGGTTTCCCTGGATTGAGGATGCAATCGAGTGGGGAAGGGGCGGGGGGAAACTGGCCACAATTTCCGTTTTCCGGTTGCAGCAAAAGCAGCAGCAGCGTCTGCAGCTCAGATTCACTTTTTTGCGCGAAGCGAACAATTGCAACAACAAGGCGAAACATTTTGCGGTTTCTGGGGTGCATTTCCCCCCTTCTGCACCCCTCTTAAAACCCCATCGAAACCCCTCTTACCAACATCGCCATCGAGCTACCGCAACGCATGCATAAATTATTATTTCCTCGACTCGCCCGCCACTTGCTGCCAAATGTTGCTGCAACATTTCTTGTTGGCCGCTCACACTCTTTGCAGGGTTTGCATATAACCCTGCAAGGAAGTTGGGCATGTGGAGTATGTGATTGCAGTGGAGAGATAATCAAAAGTTGGTAGAACACTCGAAGCGAAATAAAGGAGCTTTCTTCTTTTTAAGCATTTAAGACTTGCATTTCGGGGGTGAAGTTAAAACTTATAAAGAAATTTTTAGAAACTAAAGTTGGAAAATATTTTTTAAAAATATTTATTCTCTATTTTACTGACAATTATTAATATAAATTTACTTATTACTACAACGTTATTGACTCTAAATTATTTTAGAAATTTATATAAAATAAGAATTTTTTAATATTCATAAAAAGATAGTTGTTATAATATTAAAAGTTATGAATTAAATAACCGACTAATAACCCATAGAGCTAAA